TCTTCTCTTAAAGAACCCAAAGAGCTAGAGCTAAGATATTTGGTATTAAACATCTTCTAGTGAGTGTCTACCGAGTTTGTTCAAATAAAAGCCCTGGGGTCAAAATTGGCCCCGCCCCAGGGGGTCATTGATTTTCCCTATATGCATATAGTAAAAACTTTAAAAAATCTTCTTTTAAAGAACCCAAAGAGCTAGATCTAAGATATTTAGCATGAAGCATGTTCTAATGGGTGTCTACCAAATTTGTTCAAATAAAAGCCCTGGGGTCAAAATTGGCCCCGCCCCAGGGGGTCATTGATTTTCCCTATATGCATATAGTAAAAACTTAAAAAAATCTTCTCTTAAAGAACCCAAAGAGCTAGAGCTAAGATATTTGGTATTAAACATCTTCTAGTGAGTGTCTACCGAGTTTGTTCAAATAAAAGCCCTGGGTCAAAATTGGCCCCGCCCAGGGGGGTCATGATTTTCCTATATGCATTTTTTTTATATAGTAAAAACTTTAAAAAACTTCTTTTAAAGAACCCAAAGAGCTAGAGCTTAAGATATTTAGCATGAAGCATGTTCTAATGGGTGTCTACCAAATTTGTTCAAATAAAAGCCCTGGGGTCAAAATTGGCCCCGCTCCGGGGGTCATTGATTTTCCTTATATGTGTATGGCAAAAACTTAAAAATCTTTTTTAAAAAAAAACCCATATAGCTAGAGTTTAGATATTAAGCATGAAACATCTTCTAATCAGTGTCTACAAAGTTTGTTCAAATAAAAGCCCCGGGGTCAAAATTGGCCCTGCCCCGGGGGTCATTGATTTTACTTCTTTGTGTATAGCAAAAACTTAAAAATCTTCTTTGAAAAACCCCATATAGCTGAGTTTAGATATTAAGCATGAAACATCTTTTAGTAAATTTCTACAAAGTTTGTTCAAATAAAAGCCCGGGGGTCAAAACTGGCCCTGCCCCAGGGGTGTCATTGTTTTTAACTATATGTGTATAGTAAAAACTTAAAAAATCTTCTTTTAAAAAGCCCAATGAGCTAGAACTTAGATGTTTAGCATGAAACATCTTCTTATGGTGTCTACCAAGTCTGTTCAAATAAACAAATAAAAGCCCTTGGGTAAAAATTGGCCCGGGGGGTGGGGGGCCATATACAGGTGAGCGACCTCAGGGCCATCATGGCCCTCTTTTTCTCTAGTCAGATAGTCTCCCCAATGTCGAATATATAAATCCTGCATTTCAACAATATCATTCAAACTTAATTCAAATGTTCACTGTGCAAAAGCCACACTGCCTCCTTGCCGGTTCAAGATCACCTTTTAAAGTTAAAATTCAGACAATTATTTGAGAATTATTTGATCAGCATTATCAGCACTGTTATCCACCTCTGTGGTCGAGGGGTTAGAGTCGATGACTTCTAATCCAGTTACCTCTCTGGCGTGGGTTCCATCCCCGGGAGATGCTTTGGTAGTTTAGCGCGGAGGAAGGTAGTCTAGTACTGGTGTAACTCTCCAGGGACTATGGTTAGGAAACTACCCGCCTATATGACTGAAGTACTGTTGGAGAAGGCGTAAAATGAAACAAACAAACAATTAGCACTGTTCTCTTTTAAAGACTTTCTTAACTCTAAGCTCAAATAAAAAATGATTAATGAAAGTCTTACAAAAGAAAATAGTGGAATCCGATAAAAATGCTCAAAAGGGCAAAATTGTGAATGCTGCAGGCTCAGTTTGATTGAGCCTTTTCATAGATGGAAGTGTTAAGTGCAAGGTACCATCCATGGCCCATAGCACTGGCTTTAGCAGAATTCAACATGGTAAAATTCTTAAACATCCATAAATTTGTACAAATGGCAGTGATATTTGTCTTGCATTCCCTCCTTTTTCAAAATTAAATTTAATTTACTTAAGACATGATAAGTACAGTTAACTTTTGATAACACCTAATTAGCTTAAAGAAGGTGTTTTTTTTTGCGTCTGATGATTGCATCGTAGTACATTGTATGTGTCATGTATAAATGGAGTTTGACTGGAATGTTTGAATTACATGTTATGTACATACATTTAATTATTGTACAGGTATGCCAAATAAATAAAACTTTTATGATTCACAAGTTTAAAATTATATAAAATTTGCTATGAATTTATTATAATAATAAAATGCTAAACAGAAGTGAAGTATTTGTCTTTTCATGAATTATTTACAGGTAAATGTCAAATTGAGATGTTATGCATAGATCCCTAACTGTCCAATAGATGTTATCCAGAACTCAACAAAAGTGGGTCAGTACAAACAAACTTTTATCATTATAGCTTCAAAGCTTCTGCACTTATTACAGAAATTGTCCATCTTGTATAAACAATGGTCTTCTCCTGTAATATCTTTGGTCGGGTTTTAGGTGTAACTTTAATGTGCCTTTCTAATGACCATAGTTAAAAATAGATTATTTCCTTTGCTGTTTCTGACTTGCCAACTTGAATTTGTTCATATCATAACAGCCACTTTTATGAAGCAGTCAAATTTAATATACCTTTTCAATTTCTTAGTCAAGAATGAGGTCAAAACAAAATATCAGTGGATTGCCAGAAAGAAAATTTAATAAAGAAAAATAAAATTAGAAAGTATTTTTTTTTACATACAAACTAGTGTAATTAGTGTCCTTGAATTTCGAATAATATTTTCCATACATATTTTATCATACAGGATTCATAGCTACTCTACATACATTAGTGAGAAGAAAATGATATACATTCTACCCAGTCTCAAGTGTTATTATGCTTCAGGAAAAAATTCCGGTGAGCATAGTTGCCGGGTTGTCTGTCTGTCCATATGTTTGTCCCATACTCCGTGTCCGGCCCATAACATCATTATTTGAGTCAGATTTTACAACTATTACACAGAAATGATCACCATATTGAGAAGACGTGTCACACGCAACAATTAGGTTTCTAACTTGAATGTCAAGGTCACAGCATTACCTTGCAGCAAAATCCTGTCCGGCCTATACTTCGTTATTTGCAGTAAGATTTAAGAACTATTTCATAGAAATGATCACCATATTGAGACGTGTCATGCGCAACATTTGGGTCAAGGTCACAGCATGACCTTGCAGCAAAATCGTGTCCTGCCCATAACTTCGTTATTTGAAGTCGGATTTTACAACTATTTCACAGAAATGATCACTATATTGAGAAGACGTGTTACAAGCAACATTTCAGCTGCTCCCTTGCCCATTGTTTGGCTCTGTGCATACTATACTGCATTATACTAAGTAGTACTTAAATAGCCAGTTTGAGTGGTCTACAAGAAGAAAGAATGATTAAAGCATGGAATAATTTTATAGACAGGTGAGACACAAATAAACTTATCTTGCATGCATGTGTTCTGTTACATATATATGGGCACAAATTACTTTTGTCGGCAGTGCAACTAACCTTTTTTGTGACAAAGTATCCATTCCGTCTTCGACAGCCTCGTCATTAGAGTATTTGTGATTTCCTTTACCTCTTGTTTACCACAAAAATTGGTTATTTGAATGATGGTTATATCATAATAGTGTAAGGGACTGTGAATGTTTATCAACTAAATTACTTTTAGGACCTTGTAGTGTATATATAAGTTTAAAACAAATTATGTTTTATGACAATATGTACATCAAACTAAGATTATTTATTGACAAATGAGGTAATAATGCTCAGTCAATGCTTAAAACTTACCTGCCAGGATTCCTAAACTTTACCTGTTAGGATTCCTGAACTCGCCTCAGCCATTCATATTTGCTGCTTTTATTTGTTTAGATATTTTTTTTGGTAAATGAAGGTATTTGTACCATAATATAAAACATTCTGTGGCTCTAGGACTATATAAGGCACTATAAGGAGGTTTATACTTCAATAAATGATTTATTTACTTACTTTGTTTATCCTGGGATCAAAATGGCCGACAAGTTGTCTACCTTGATTCAAAACTTTAAATGCATTTATTTTCATAAACATATACTTACCATTTTATATGTAGGAACAAAGAATGTAATCTTTATTTCCCTAATACTAATATTTAGCTGGTATTGCTGTATTTCATTATAATCTAGATGACCAGTATGACCTCTAAGTTTGTCAGGAGGGAAAATTCAAATTCCTGGCACTATCAACAATTCGTTTTTTCTAAGCTTGAACTATTATTATTTTTGGTCCAGATTTTTAGTACATTGAGTTAAGCATGTAATTCAAGTGTTCATTGCATATTTTGTTATTTGTTTAACATGTAAATTTACATTTTTCTAAATTATTCCTGTCAATATGGCTGCCATTTTAAGAAATTCCTGTCTTTCCTGCCCGAGACTGCCAGGGCTAATGGAATGTTATGATTGGTCAATTATGACAGTCCTGGCCATTTCAGAGTCTATTTAAGTAGCCATGACAGGCTGTGTTCAGTTTGCAATTTGGCTTTAAATCCTGACAGTCCCGAAAACTAGTGACAAGAGCATTTCGTAATATTTTCATGGAAACTTCTATTGTTAAATCTAGCAAATTTCGTGCTCTTCAGAGTTAAAAAAAGAAATTATGGAATTAATTTTTTATCAATAAAAGTTGTTATTTAAACAGTTTTTGACTTAGCTTACAATATTCAAACACGGAGGGTAATCATATCTTCATTTTGTTTTGTTGAATATCTGTCATTATTATGGGATTCGAAGACATATGGACACCATGAAGGTCATGGGCACTCTCCAGCTAGTAAGGCTAGACGGATAGATTCATCCGAAGTATCTGGTGAGAGAACCTGCGGTTGTGGGGTGCGATGTCAGCAACCTTTATCACTTAGTCAGGGAGTAGATTTATCAATTATTGCAAAATGTACATGTAGCTTAACAGCATCTTAAGTTCAGCTTGCTAAGTAGAAAAAAGTAAGGTCATTATTCATGACATAATTAAAAAACCAGCATGCAGTTTTGTTATGTATATCATTTAATACAAATGTAACACTCACAAAAAATAGACAACAGCAGTTTGTTTTACATTCAAATAAATATTTATATATCACAGTTTATGAAATATTCTTTACACAAAAATATAAATCACTATAGATGTAAAGTATTTGCAAACTTCACTTCAGCAGTACATTACATATTACAGTAATAGTTTTCAGTTATCTAATCTTAATTTTTCAATCATGCAGAAACATTTATTTGATTAGTCATATTGTTCAAAATAACTTACCAAAGGAAATAAAAAATATGAGGTTTCACATAAAAAAAAACTTACATTCAGAATTGGTTCATAAAATATTGACAAGGTAAAGGGTTGGAAATTAACATTGGCTCAAGTAAGAATCATTTTGCCTAGTACCCTTAAAGTGCTAAAAATTTAACAAGTTGCTATGAATTTAGTGCATTTACACCATCTTAAAACTGTAGTTACATTTATGATTTAACAAAAACATTGACCTTTCAGTTATACATAAAACTCTAGTTCTCAAGACCAGACCTTATAAACACATAGTTGTTAGTTTTTGCCTTTTAACTAATTGATTCACAAAGTCAAATTTAAAACCAGTTTACTAACTAAAGTCTACAATTGGTCAATTTGAAATCACAATTTTGAATCAGCCATTCAAATGCTAGGAGCTTTAGACTGGATTTAATTGGCTTAATTTTTTAAAATCTTTTTTTGTACAATAAACTCAAAGCCTAACTTTTGAAAGGGAAGGATAAATGCACAAGAAGAACAGAATTGTCGTTAACAAGAAAAATATTTCAACAAATCTTTTCAGTAACATAATTCTATAGTAAATTCTTTATTATTTTTTCCATTAACATTTTAACAACAGCACAATTTCACTTCTTCTCTAAAGTCAATGATAACAAACTTAACAACTGTTTATTTATTTAAGCACAAGTTTAGAATCAGTGGACAGTGTGTTAAGGGTGTTGATTCTAGACTGTATCTTGGCTCCTAGACGATTGTATTTCTTTGTCATAAAATATTCTAGCTCTTCTTCCCTTTTCTCCCTGAAAAATTTAAAATATCAATATTATGATATCATCTATGATAATTTAACAAGAACTGTACTGCTAAAGCATGTGTTTTAACAAGAGGGCCATGATGGCCCTGAGGTCGCTCACCTGTATATAGGCCCCCCAACCCCCCCCCCAACGTTGCAGGGCCAATTTAACCCAAGGGCTTTTATTTGCACAAACTTGGTAGACACCCATAAGAAGATGTTTCATGCTAAACATCTAAGCTCTAGCTCATTGGGCTTTTTAAAAGAAGATTTTTTTTAAAGTTTTTACTATACACATATAGTTAAAAACAATGACACCCCTGGGGCCGGGCCAGTTTTGACCCCAGGGCTTTTATTTGAACAAACTTTGTAGACACTTACTAGAAGATGTTTCATGCTTAATATCTAAACTCTAGCTATTTGGGTTTTTTCAAAGAAGATTTTAAGTTTTTGCTATACACATATAAAGAAAATCAATGACCCCCGGGGCGGGGCCAATTTTGACCCCAGGTCTTTTATTTGAACAAACTTTGTAGACACTCACTAAAAGATGTTTCATGCTTAATATCTTAACTCTAGCTATTTGGGTTTTTTCAAAGAAGATTTTTTAAGTTTTTGCTATACACATATAAGGAAAATCAATGACCCCCGGGGCGGTGCCAATTTTGACCCCAGGGCTTTTATTTGAACAAACTTGGTAGACACCTATTAGAACATGTTTGATGCTAAATATCTTAGCCATAGCTCTTTGAGTTCTTTAAAAGAAGATTTTTTAAGTTTTTACTATATGCATATAGGGAAAATCAATGACCCCCCGGGGCAGGGTCAACTTTGACCCCAGGGCTTTTATTTGAACAAACTTGGTAGACACTTATTAGAACATGTTTCATGCTCAATATCTTAGCCATAGCTCTTTGAGTTCTTTAAAAGAAGATTTTTAAAGTTTTTACTATATGCATATAGGGAAAATCAATGACCCCCCGGGCGGGGCCAATTTTGACCCCAGGGCTTTTATTTGAACAAACTTGGTAGACACCCATTAGAACATGTTTCATGCTAAATATCTTAGCTCTAGCTCTTTGGGTTCTTTAAAAGAAGATTTTTTAAGTTTTTACTATATGCATATAGGGAAAATCAATGACCCCCCGGGGCGGGGCCAATTTTGACCCCAGGGCTTTTATTTGAACAAACTTGGTAGACACTTACTAGAAGATGTTTCATGCCAAATATCTAAGCTCTAGCTCTTATGGTTTTTTAAAAGAAGATATTTAAAGTTTTTTCTTTCGGTTGCCATGGCAACCAGAGTTCTGCATGGAATTAAATTCTTTGAACAATTTTTAAAGGTGACCACCAAAGGAACATTCCTGTGAAGTTTGGATGAAATTGGCTTAGTGGTTTATGAGGAGATGTCATTTAAAGTAAAAGTTTACGGACGGACGACGGACGGACGACGAACGAAAAGCGATCACAAAAGCTCACCCTGTCACTTTGTGACAGGTGAGCTAAAAATGAAATCTTAACAAAATGTGTAAGCAACAGTATCCACCTACTTGCATAGTGATTGGTATTTACTGATTAAATATAGGTATGTGTAAAATTTTAGTCTAAAATATTAATATTTTTGATGAAAATGCAATAAGTTTCTTGCATAATTCAATGAAGTTTGGAAACATACCAAAATAATGTCTTACAATTATCTAATGTTTATATGTTAGATGTATAATATATATAAATACCTAGGTACTGGACCATATGATGATACTGGAATGTTTGAAGCTGGCATTTTGTTTCCATGTGGGAAAGCATCTCTGAAATGACAAATAATACATAAATCTGCCTGCATAGCTTAACAAAGAGAGCATTAAATTTGTAATCCAGGATTGCTGGTTTGAACCATGGGCAAGGCAAAATTTGACCATGATATTTGATCTCGAGCATTGAGTCTAAATGGTTATTTGTTGTTATTTTTTGCTGATTCATGATCAGTAGTCTGTTACTTGAAGAGAATAGCTGGTAAATTAGTGGAAAGCATCTTAGTGGAGCACCAAGCCAAGGCATAAACAAAAATGTTTTAAATCAACATAACCATGCAAAAAAACTTATTCACAAATTTATTCCATATCATCAAGTTTTATAGATTTATTCCGTTATCTGTAGTTAAAAGAACTCTTTGCATGTTATTCAGACTTGACTAAACTTAAGCCTGTTTGTTGAGATCAATTTAATAGTGACAGCAAGTAACTGGAATCATTGTAATTACCCATATCATTCATATAGCTCATAATTATTTTGTACACAATCATTATGTAAACAACAGTAAATACACCAATACTGATATACAGTTAAAAGCATAAAAAGTTGTACTTACACCTGGACCTTCTCGTCTGCTGGTGTTGAGGGGTCAATCATCTGAAATTGAGCATTGACCATGTCAGGGGTCAAGGCCACAGACATACGTGATGTGCTTCTACCATCCTCCTCCTCACTGAAATAAATGAAAATAAATATATCACATTTTACAGCACTTCTTGTGACTAGTGGTAAGCGCATCATATAACAGAGTATGTATGGTAATGAAAATGAATAAAAATATATCACATCCAAAGTTTGTAATAGAGCTGTGTCCCTTGCAAAGAGCCAGTTTTGCCTTTAATTTTTATGCAGTCTGACTACACTTAAATTCCATTAGAGTACAGTTCAACAGATATGCATGTTTGTTAAGTTGACTTTCATAATTTCAGAACTTTAACATTAATATGATTGATGCCATTTCATCTCATCTTAACATGTTCATAGAAGATTTCAAAATCATCCATTCAAATTAATTTGTCAAAATAACATATTTCATTAAAGTATGGGCATTTTATATCTTTAATAAAAAAGTATTCAAGGCCCAGTATAAAACACTTACTCATCAACAATATTGTCACCATCATCTTCTGGGAGGCTATCAAGAAGTGCAGGAACATTTTGAGGTAACAACTCCTCACCAAAGGGATCATCCCTGTATATAAAACAGACAACTTAAGACTAGAAATTCCATATACATTTTATATAGCCTGGTCATCTTAGAAAGAGCAAATATTTCTTACTAGTACTTATATTTCCAATTCATGAAAAAATCTAAATAAAACACTGAAATTAAAAAAAATAACAAAATCAAATTCTCTGAAAAATGAGAAACAAATGCAAGTTATATGTACATACCATCTTGGGACCCAGACATTTGTTAGTGTAGGTGTGTTACTAAGGGAGGTAAGACCCTGTGATGGGAATTTCTTCCATGTCATTATTCCCCTTACAACATCCTGTAATAAAAATAAGACATACATGTAAAACAATAATGCACAACAGATGATCTTTAAGATAAAAGTCTAAAGTTGGGTGTCTGAAATGCATATCATGATACAATGAGACTAACATTTGACCAAATATCATGGACATCTTTCGTGAGGTTCACAAGTTAGAATATTGGAAAAATGGTTTAAACACTCACTGATAGAAAAACAATAAAACAACACTGCACAGAAGATTTGGCAAGTTGTTTCAAAGAGATAAACATCTAACCAAAGTTTTATGAATACATCTCAAGCCCTTCAAAGTAAGAGAGTAGATGAGAAATAGTTGGCTCGCACCATATAGACGTTGATTTTGACCTATAAAGGGGCATCTGAAGACATTACAATTTTTCCCCGTGTATCACTGATATCCTTCAATAGGATTAAAAAGATATAGTTATAAACCAATTATCTTTACTTCATATTCAAATCTATAAATGATTAAACCTTAACAATTTCAGGATAAAAATGTGACATGAAAACAAATAAAAGAGGTTACAACTAATGTGAACTGATGTGAAAACACAAAATGATAACCAAAGGTAAGACCCTAAAGATGTGTACAGAAGAACCGGTAAAGGAAAATCATGCAGGAAAAAGACAGTTTACAAACCTCCCTATCCATATACTTCCTCTGTGTGGCAGCGTGCATGTTTGAACTGTGGTCCTTCCTGAAGTACCGTGGTAGAGGACACAGGTGAAAATCGGCATCTGTCTCAGCAAAGGGTACTGGAGCTTGGAACACTTGTAAACCAGGTGCTGGATTCTATAATAAATAAATATTTAGCTGTTATTTTAAAGAAAAACAATTATTTAGCTGTACTAAAGATTTTTTCATTTTATGGTTTTGTTCCTTTAATTCCGCAACACAAAAAATCTGCCCACCTCCCCCCCAAAAAAACTTTTTTTTTTTAATTATGCTAGCATGAGCATATAATGTTCCTCATTTATACAATTATCTAGGATTGAGGATGACAAGGCCAGAAGCTTGTAAGTAAAGTACATGTACATGTGATATAGTGAACAAGGTTTCAAGTTAATTTACCTGATAAATACACAGATAACATATTTAACAGAGTTAAACAAAAATCCATAACATCACACAATTATAGTAACAGCCTTTACACTATTGACTTTTTGAGCAATTTAAAATAAAATTCTGAAACAAAAAGTTCAAACAATAACACATAATTTTATGCAAATCTTTATCACTTAAGACAATTATAAATAATTCTATCATTACTTACAAATACATGAAGTGGTGGATATTCCATTGGCTGAAAGAGTGCCTGTGGTGGTGTAAGGGAGACAACATGCACTGGGGCTGGCTTTTTAGTTTCTACAGTTTCTAGAGTTACATCCCCTACTGTACTCAGGTCTAATGCTAGACTTGTTCTAGTAACATTGACAGAAGATTTCTCCTTCATGGTAACTGGAGGTGGTAAAGTAATAACCTCATCCTGTTACATTAATTAAAATGTTTATAGTCAATACATATGTATTAGAAATTTGTCACATCTTTCAATAAATATTAAAAAACATTGTCACACAATAAAATATTCAATTCATTTGTCATACATATAATTCTTTCATCTAATTAGTTAAAATCACTTTGGAAAAAAAACACACAAAAAGTGTTCAATAATGTATATATCAGTTTTACTTGGATGGTCTTTATACATTTTAATTAAACACATGGAAAATTTGCAGCTTTCTAGTGACAAAATACCTTCAATACATTAAGTCATTCAATCAACAAACTTTCCTTTAGACATCTAGGCTAGTAAATACACAACAAGAAATACAAGAAAGTCTCAAGTAGAATTTTAAGCAATGTATTTAAATTTAAGCTTTTATTAAAAAAAAATGCAAAAAAGGGAGATAAATGTTGATATATGAGATCTAGACAGGGGAGACAAACCTCTGCTCCAGTTCTCAGTGGTTTTGACCTGATGACGGGCACATAACCGCTACAGGCTTCCTGGGTATTATAAGCTGTGTATCCATTTAATTTGTACTGCTGGGGAACCTGAAATAAATGGAATATATTTGAACTTCTGGACTGGTAAAGCCTACATGTATGCCACAAGTATAAAGCCATATAAGGCCTGTATCTGTGTTGCCCAGACAACAATCAAAAAGGGTAGTTTAATATGCTTATAGTTTTAATATTTTCTAACAAACAATCCTGACCAGTGATCATACAATTTGTTAGATCCTCAGACAAAGTTTTTACGGAAAGAGTTTTTAAAAAAAGCTTTCAAGCTTACTACTCAATCCGTACTATTTATTATTTGTCAATTATCATGTAAATGTAATACTTATAAATAAAATATTGTTTAAACTAAAGTTTTTGATATATAAATAATGTTAAAGATACAACAATACTTAATAATTTTCAATAAAAACAGAAGATACGGCAATAACAAGAAGACAAAGGACAAAAGTTGATTCTTACTTTTAAACCGAAATAAGGCACTTTCCTTTTCACAACAACCTCTGTAGGCTTGAATGGAACAGACCCGAGAGCATCTGGTGCCATGTCATCTTTGACATTTGGAGGGACATATGTGGGGAACTGATGTTGTTTGATTCTATCAGCATGTAGTTCCAAATTTTCTGGTATCAATTCTTTCTTCTCCTCTTCCTGCATTTTCTCTTTTTCTTCAGCTTTAGAAAAAATAATAATATAACACATTGATATAATTTCATATAAAAGATATTTTATGCCATAGTTTATTGGTAATTATGCCTTTGGTTCTAATGCTTTCATAAGCCTATATATAGTTATGATGTTGATTGCTGTGTTATAAAGTTGTTTAAGTTATAAAGTCACTGAAGTTTGCAATGCAATTGTTCCACTTGTTAAGTTCTTGGTTTGGCATTTTTATCACCTCTTAAAAAAGTATGAAAATTCTTCTTACTATAAAATTCTTGTCTTGGTTCACTTTAAATGATTTACTGATTTATACCTTACTTCACTGTTGACTGTGAGTTGGCAGGAAAATTGTGGTTTTATCAAAAAAGAACATTTAAGTGGGTTCTTGAACTTGTGGAGTGTCTTTGTGCAAAAAGGTAAAATGCAAATAATGTAATAAAAATAATCATACAGCAGAAAGAATAACATTTTGTTGGACTTCATGGAATGACCTATTCATGGCCACTGTGTTTTTCATGTAAAATTGTTAAAATAAACTATTTGGAAAAACATTTAAAATAAAAAATTCACATGTTTTATGTTCTAATCAATTAGAAAAGAATAGCATATTGTCAGTATTGATCAATATCTTAGCATTTTTTGCAGTATAATATTGTTATAGGTATTGTTATGAAACTGTTTTTAAATGCAAGAAAGCAAAACAGCTTTGTTCAAATTAAGCATTAAGTATCATGCTATGAAGATAGTTAGACTGTATGAGTGTTTGGCATAATGTATTCAATCATTTGTCATGAAGTTAAGTTCCATCGTCTTTTATGTTAAAAATAGCACAGTTGTAGCATTAGATGTAGAGATATGACAGTCGGGACCATATTGATGCAAAACACCAATAGCATTGCAGATTCCTAAACTAGTGGGTAATTCATAACCGATTTAGGTCTAAATCTAATCACATATGCCCTGTTTTTGGATCAATTAGGAAAACAAAAAATATCAATTATAAAAACAATTAGCAAATTAGTGAGCAATTAATGGTCTTTATACAAAATTTTCTTAACATTGTGGTAATTTTTAAATGAAGACAAGCAAAATTACAAAAAAGAATTATAAATGCCTTTACAATATCTAAAAAGCTTTATAAAGTTCTAAAACTTTTAGAAATACTTTTATTATACATGATTGTATATCCTTACATACTATAATTTTGCTATTTATACAAAAAGAATTATACATGTAAAGTGCTTGTATAACATGAACATTAAAGTACGATCAGAAAGAAAAAATCTGTTTCGTAATTTAGGCATGATCAAATATGTCATTACAGACATATTATCTTTCATTACTTTTAAAAAAAAATGTAGTCCAAAAATCAAATTTATAATAAGTGTGTAATCATTTGAAAGAAATGATCTATCACTAGTTTTTAGCATATGTGACCTTAACAAGAATATATTACACTCTGTACTTATGTGCCTCTGTACTCTATGCCATCATGGCCTAGAAAAAATCACTCAAGATTAATACAATCCCCAGATCAAAATACTACCAATACTTTTACAATAACCCGATTGTGTGTATTACAAAGGACAATATATTATATATGTATATAACTATAAAATGAAATCTACGAAAGCTACAGATATAAGTGCCTTCTAACTTCTAAGGCAAAAGTTCAGTGAAGATCTGCTCCTCTTTAATTCTACTTTTTTTTAGGTAATATACATTGATATAAAAAAGTATATTATAAATTTTGTTTTTTTGATAGATTATTATACAATATATATAGTAAACAGAACATGGTATATACTTATAGGTTTCATATTTATCTAAATACATGCAAGGACAAATACTGGATGGATTCCCCGACCATGCAGTAGGGCTCTGTGTTTGGATAATAAATGCAATAAGCCATAGTGCTTCAAACTTATAAAAATGGATAAATGGGTCATGGAAAGTTGAAAGAACCAAATGTATTATTTCATTACATAGTTATGTATTTGTGAGGGAAATGAAAGAAAAATATGTTGAGCTCTTGGAAAAATAACATCTAACCAATAAAGATACAAAAGCTCTTCATGAAATCCCTTCAACTTCAGCAAATAAAAGATGGCGCTACACAAGCTTTGAACAAAAAAAATCTCTCAATTAACAGCAATATTACAAATACATGTATTTGTGCAATACTTGACCACCAAAGCAATTTGTAATATGATATATGAAAATAATGTGTTATATATGGGGATATGATAACTCACCTTTGACCTCTGTAATCAGACAATGATATCATAAAAATCTAACTTACACTAACTTTAACAATATAGGATCATGAAATAAAACAGTTCCTATGATTAACATAAGGCTATTTATGTTGTATATTGTACAATATTCAGCTATGTATATAATGTCAATAAAGATTCCAAATTACTATAGAAACCAGAAATGAGAACAATTTCTTTTGAACAGCACAAAATCAGCGATTGAATTTTAATAAATATCTGAATCTCATTGTTCTTTTCTTTCTTTTTTTTACAGTTTTCTTATATGTAAAATCCTTTTTGCCACAATTATGAATGGGAAAAATAAAATTAAAATACTTTTAAAAATCAGAATTCTGCAAGCAATTATAATTTGCTTAAGACTATCATTAAAGATTGAGGCAAGCCAGTAGTCACATACAATCTGACCTGATGTCATAATACTGCGTGTTTGTTACAGCAATTTTCACTGGACAGTCATGATTTTATATTATTTTTAAGTGTATAGTCTTTAATCAATATTTATTTCAATCAAAGCAATCAATAATACAGTATTATAAATTGTTTTATGTAAAAACTTTTGCCATGTTATATTATTAGTTATAAAGTTCTTTGACAGGTTATATGGCCCTATATAAATGGCTATTTGTAAATATAACCCGAGCCGTTAGGCAAGGGTTATATTGCAAACAGCCGTTTATATACAGCCATATAACCTGTCATCAATCTTTATAACGAATTTATAATACAGCATGCATCATTTCAAGAGAATAAAAGTAAGATTTCATCATGAATCGACATCAGCCGTGTATTATAAAACTATATAAACGTCACAATTATCCAATGAAAAATGACGTTACAAATGTGCAGTATTATAAGACCACATATAAATTATTGCTTGCTATATAAACCTTGCCTAGCAGCATGGGTTATATCAAAAGACAACCATTTGAACTTGGCCATAAAACCTGTCAAAAAATCTTTATAACTAATATATTATAATACTAAACTGTAACATGCATACTGCAAACATTTTGATCAGACAAACTGTCAATGGACCATTCAACATCTATTTTATTTTGATTTGGGTTTTACGTCACACCGACACAGTATAGGTCATTTGGCGATGTTCCAGCTTTACTGGTGGAGGAAGACCTCAGGTGCCCCTCTGTGCATTTTTTCCAGACACTAACAGGCACCTGAGTAAATTCAACATCTAAAACCAGTTTTTAATAAATTCAGAGTCAGGTAAATGACAAGTTAATATATTCACCTGTAAGACTCTCCGTGACAAACTGTTTACGATGCCAGTCTTCTATCATCTTATTCAGAGATTTCAATTTGCTAGATGCTCTTTGTCGGATAATTACCTGTAAAAATGAAAAGTTTGTTAAAAAAAAAGCATCTCCAACAATTTTCATTTTATTCAATTTTTAGCTCGACTTTTCTATGAAAAGGGGAGCTATCCTACTCGCCCCGGTGTCGGCGTCGGCGTTAGCGTCGGCGTTGGCGTCACACCTTGGTTAAGTTTTTCGTACCACCCCACTTTATTTCAGAAGTATTACAAGTATGGCTTTGAAACTTACCATACTTGTTCACCATCATAACCTCCATCTACAGACAGGAGTACATAACTCTGTCAAGGTTTTTGACAGAATTATGGCCCTTTTTTGACTTAGAAAGTGTATTGAGCTTGGTTAAGTTTTTTGTACCACCTCACTTTATTTCAAAACCATTGGAGGTATTGCTTTGAAACTGACCATACTTGTTTACCATCACGACCTTCATCAACAGACAAGAGGACATAACTCTGTCAAGGTTTTTGACAGAATTATGCCCCTTTTTGACTTAGAAAATACATTGAATATGGGTAAAATCCACTTATTGCCTTAACCCTTTGAGATATTGCTTTGAAACTTTTAATGCTATTTCACATCATTACCCCCATCTGTACGCAAGAGAAGGTAACTCTGTCAGGGATTTGTTTTAAAAATTAAGGCCTTTTATCGACTTAGAATCTTGGTTAACTTTTTTGTACCAGTCAACTTTTTGACTGAACTGGTTGAGATATTAAATTGAAAGTTGGAATACTTGTTTACCATCATGGTCCCAAAACATGGGCAGGAGAAGGTAATTCTGTTAAGGATTTTATTTGAATTATGGCCCTTTTTGACTTAGAAACTCAGTTAAAATTTTCATTCTTGTCCACTTGTTGACTTAACCATTTGAGATATTACTTTGGAAGTTGGAGTTCTTATGTGCCATCATGAGACCTATCTGTAAGCAAGAGAAGATAACTCTGTGAAAATGTTTCTTGATTTGTACTTAGAAATTCCTAGTTAAAGTCTTGTGTGCCCTTAACTGTCAAAGTTTTGTTTTATAGGCAAGCACTAAAAAAGTCGAGCGCGCTGTCCTTCTGACAGCTCTTGTTTGTTATGTTTTATATTGTATTATCATTTATTACACTATATATTCTATAAAGGGCATAATGGTAAAATTTCAGTTTCATGTGAAAAGGGAGACAGTAGGTATGACTTTGACATATTACTTTAGTGTGCACCTAGACATACCATATCTGTATAAGCCAGCTTAATAGCTACCTCAAATAAATTTCTATTTTCAGACTAACACACTCGCATATCAATAGCTGAAAGGCCTTAATTACTCAGCCTTCGTAATTCTTAGAAATTTCATAATTCCACATTCTTTTCCCTAATTGGCCATAAAAGAAAGATAACTGTCAATTCAGCTTAATGATCAAGAAAACTCTTATACAATCCATTTTAGGGTCACAGTAAATCTATACAAAACTAGGGGTATCACGTTTATCCGTTTATACGGGTTTGGTCAGTTTTTAACTAAAAACCTTTTAGAAAATTCAATAAACAATAACAAAAGTTAGTACAAGACCAATAGCCAAAGAGGTTTAAGAATGATTTTATATATTACCGACAAAATATGACATTTTGTATTTAATTTAGTTGTATAGTCCTGTGTTTTTCTAATTGCATGCTTTCTTTTTGGCCCTAGTGGCAAAATAATAAGTCTTTAACTTAACATCTTTTGAAAAAATTTTTTAGTACAACAAAATACAAACTTAATGTCATATCTTCAAACTAAAAAGAAACTGTGGTAAAATCTATGAAATACTTAAACGTCTTACATGGTTTTAAGGTTGCTGTTTAAACAATTAGCTTTTTTGCTAACCCTGACTCTCATATACAAAACAACAACATCTATTAACATAAATGCTTTTCATTACAGACAGATCACATAATAAAGGGAGTATAGTTATAACTAACCTTCCGAGCAGCTTGTGCAAATCTACTGAGTGTACTGTGTCTAACATGCCACATATCGTTGGTATATTGATCAAACTGTGCTGTCTCTGACGGTAGATTATCTTTGTCTCTCATTGTACGTTTAAATGTACATTTACTACATTCTCTGTTATATTCCTCATCTTCAACCGGCTCCCCGCACCTTTTGTACTGGAATAAAAAATTACCAAGTTTATCAAAAGCTCCTATAGTTATAACATCACTGTTAGGGTCATATTGCAACTTTTCAGGTTACCTTGTGAAGCAATGTTTCAAGGTGCCCCTCCTATTCCAACATTTTGTACTCGAGTAAAGAGATTGTGTTATTTATATAAGGGTACCTGCCTTTATAGAGATTCTGGCCCAAAACAAAAGTAGATATATATCTTTGAAACTGCTCAAAAAATATTTTTGATTGAAAGCATGTTTCTATGAATTAATACTGCATAGCTTCCTCACAAAAACCATATGACTTTCATTTCATGAAGAATATTGACAGATTGGGTATTATTAGTGAAATATAAATTATATTGTCTACTGCATGTCATTTTCCATAAAAACTTGTTATTTGTTATCAAATGAGATAATTTGGAATCTTTTAACTCATTCATAATTTCTCTCAGGGTTGGGTTTTAAGTCTAATCAACCCTGCCATTGCAGGTTGTATATGGTCACTATCCAGCTAATCAATGGTAAAGGAAGGTTGCAGGTATCATTAAATGCATCACATCTTTATGCATGAGCAGGCAACACATTTGCACTAAAAGGCAAATAAAATGAGACAATTAAAATCATTGCATTTTCCAGTTACACAATATAAGACTTACCTTGTATATATTCCAGGCTTTATTTCTCTCAGAGAGTATTTTAGCCCTATCCTCAGTGTTTATTTGATCATCTCCAAGTTTAGACTGCCATCGTAACTGATTCTGACGTTCCTCATAAACATTCTGCCTAACCTGATGCTCAAACTTTGCTTCCTACAGACACACAATAAATGTATATTCCTATATGTTTCTATTTATAGATTATGACCTACGTTACTTTATAACCACTTGCTTTCCTCATTCATAAATTAAATTCAAAAATAATATCTTCTTCACATCATTTTTATTCTCAAGAAAATATGTATATGTCATGCAACCTGAGTTCAGAACATCTGTTGCTTTCTGCATCATGTAAAAATTAAGGCTCACTTTTAATTCTTTAAGGATTCAACAAAGAAACTACCAAACATTAGTGACAACTAAAATAACAATACACTATCCTTAATAGAACATTTGGAAATCTATTTAAGGAAAAGATACATTATTTTATATTAACCTTCATTTGTCGTGTTGCAGCTTTTGGCTTAGAATCTTTAGTGACAACAACTGAAATAAAGAATAAAATAACACATCAAATTAAGAATGAGCAGTAAACATATTTTTCAACTTGGTGTTATATAAATATGAAGCTATATAAAGTTACTGGAACAATGATTATTATTGGTTAGTTCTAGGAACAGATTCAAGAGTGTATCTTTAAGTTATTGCTTACTTAATCCCAACGAACAATTCAAGTTTTTAAGAAACATAGATACAGCTAGGTGATATATATGTACATGATCAATTTTTTTTTCATGCAATGTATGAAAAAAATCTTGCTTTAGTCTAAGATGCTTATAAAAAACTTGTCCTTTTATTACATCGACTTCTTACATTCTTTTCAAAATGTAACTCAATATTACAGCAACTTCTAATGTTAATCAGAATAGGTCAAGTCTTCAATATTTACATGTACATAAAATATTTGTTAACACCTACATAAGGCAGAGTTTATGTCAACAGTATAAAGTAAAGCTATCCTGACTACATTCATAAACTCAATTCATATTACTTTGATAAGGAATCCCATCTAACTTAAAATAGATCAATCTAAATTCAAAACAGAACAAGGCACTGTGGCTGAGTGGTTGACACATATAAGACAAGTAATCTAAGGATTGCTGGAAAACCCTGTTAGTGGCAAGCTGTTGTTTCCTTAAGCAAGAATATTTACACTCATTGCACAGTACTGATTAGGTTGTGGAAAAGATTCGAGACTGTTTCAATAAGCTTATAGCTTGTAACACAATCAAACTAAAATAAATTTGTATAAACTAATCCATTGCTACTCTGGGTTACATTTGGAGGTCCCTGTCAGCAAAAATGTCTGTCTGAAATGCATTTTAAGCCACCTCAACTAAACCAAAAATGACCACCCAAAATTAAAACAAACATGTCTTTGAAAAAATTTAACAACAACCCTGAATACTTCAAGGGTTAATTAACTTAATAGTATAATATGTACCATCTCTGAGATCCTTCGCCCTCAGTTTGCCTGGCTCCTGATTCAGTACTTGAGACACAGCATATGGATTATTTAGATCAACTGGAAATTTTACACCTTGATATTCAACTTCCTGTAATACAAATAAAAAAGGTCATAATTATCGAGACTGTCTAACTTAACAGATGGAGGAAGATGTCAGGTGCTCCTCAGACCTCATGTGCTCCTCATTGCATTATTTCAGGTATGAGCAGGTACCTAAGTAGAACCACTGACCTTTTGTTATCTAGTTGGAAATCCTCCTTGCCATATTAGAAAGCATTTCTAGACAAGATTTGTTCTATGACACTGTGTGATTTTAATTCACATTAGGTAAATAAAATTTAAATCATAAACATCTTAACAAATGATAATAATTTTTTTCATTCATTTATATTCAAGTAATTCAATGGACTACAATGAATATTATTAAGTTTGTCTGGAACTGAAAGGCTAACTGATTATCCAAAGGTACAATGAAACAATAAAGAAAAGGAAACTCACAAAAAATAATATTTCTTTTTCATAAAAATATTTAACGAAGACAATGGAACTTTGATTTAATTAGAAATTTTTTTGATATTCTTCTCAAATTATACTTTAATAGCATTAAATTATCAATTTACAATTATGTGTATTATTTACAAACTAAACAAGGTAAATACCTGTTTGACATTTGTGGGAGGGGGGAGGGAGAGCTTTTTCTTTTTTCTTCGAGCTCGTTCTACAGGTGTCAAGCTACGTGGATCTAATAGGGACTCCTCAGATCCTTCGCCATACTGGAAGGAATACTTTAATGTTTCATCCCTGGAAAGTTAAATTGAAATACCATCATTTATAAGGAACATAGAAATTAAACAGTGCAATATTTTGTCTTCTATCAAAAGTGACATTAACAATTCAAAATGAGTTTAAATTTTATAAGTTCAAAAGTCTTGACAACAAATAAAACAATTATAAATAATAAATAAAATAAACAATTATAATTATTCTATTAATAAATAGAAGGAAAATCTATTTGTGTAATCAAGTCTATTGTGGAAAGAAACTATAAAACCACCTTAATGAGAGATAAATTTAGGGCTGGGTACAAAACAAATTGCATGTGGTTTAAGCCATACATTGGTCACAACCATATTTTTTTCATAAATGATACCAGTGCTGGATAGTGCCACAAAGAGCAATTGTAAACTAGTTTACAAAAATGTATTTGAAAATCATACTTGAGCAATCCAGGTACAGAAGTTCCAGTAAAAGTACACACAATCGGGTTAGAGTTGAACTGTGAAATAACCAACTGTATTCTCATATATGCTGTGTGAAATTCAATTGGACAAAAAGTGACAGCAACCTCTGTCTCCCCATTAGCAGGAATAATACCTGTAAAATAATCATCATCATAGCAAAATACAACATGTTGTCAAACAATCTGTAATATGATCATCATGGTAGCAAAATACAACATGTTGTCCATGATCATCACGGTAGTAGAACTGGGGCGAGTATCCGAGTACTCGGATAATCACGAATCAAAATGAAAAGTCGAGTACGAATATTCGTCAGTCCAGAGATCGTAGATTGCGATCTTATTTGTTTATTATACATTCGCTGTTTCTTACACATTAAATGTCAAAAAAAAATGTGTATGAATTATGCGACATTTACCTAAATACAATTTGCTCATTAAAGACAGAATGTTTAAAACAAACATTTACCATGATGCTGAGCTAGGAAGTAATTAGATTCGAAAAAGGAATCACTATATCTTTATTGAGCACTTGTTTTTAAATGAAAATAAATAAATATTTTTAGCAGCTATGTATAGATCTATAATGACGTGACATGTATTGAAGACCGTTTTATTTTTCAGAATCCAAAATTTGCGAAACGCAAGTTAATACGTCAGTGTGACATCACATGTATTGGCTGAAAAGGAGTCGCGCCAATATAAAATCCCACCAGCAAAATTCACTTCTAATTTTTGGAAATACTTGTCTTTTCATGTGATTGAACAAGTTTGTTGTAAAACCTGTATAAGTCAATTCACCATGTTTTACAAACTGCTTTTTCCTCATTTTCATTGAAAGTAAATTTTGCTGGTGGAATTTTATATTGGCGCGACTGGTTTTCAACCTTAAAACCTAGTTTATATTTGCATTGCATAATATTATATGTTTAATGAAATTAATGTTTAGTATTGTTTTAAGAAAAATAACATGTTTTCAGAACTAATGTTTATGTTTTTATTGGTGTCTTGATAACAAAAGATTTGTGGTTCGATTTGTGAATCGCAAGTGCTGAATCATGGATCAGATCGGATAGTCACTTATCTGACGATCCACACCCCTACACGGTAGCAAAGTAGTCAAACAAATCTGCATTATTTTCCAAAGATTTAAAGGAATTTCAACGAAACTAGTTAAGCTTGTTACAAAAAAGTGGCTTTATGCTGAGAAACATTCACACAGAAATCACAAGATGAATGATTGGAATGAATAATTATAAAAGAAATCAAAGACTATGATTCTTTCAAGACTAAATATGATATAATATAAATATTTTATATAATATATAGAGGATATTGAATGAGTGTACTTTAATACTAAATTTATTGAACAATTTGAATTAAATATTATTATACAAGCTTCTGGTAAGCATAATATTGTTTTATTCAATGAGGTCAATGAATTTTAGTTTTGAATCTACACGAATATAATATTCTATTTATCACATATCTAAAATAATAACAGTAAACTGTTAAAATGAGTAATTTTTCAATGACACGCCCATAGTGTAACGCTAACATAAGCGCGCTTTAACGCTATGTTTCTATATAGCGCAAATGACGTCACGTCAAAGTGTTATTACACTTGTGTAAAATAGTTTTTATTAAATGGCTTTATTACACTCATGCGCTGCGGTTTATGTGATATAATGTAATGTAATATGATATAATATTACTTTTAACTAATTATTATGTTGAAACTTTCTCATTGCAATAAATAAAGTTGTAATCACTTCAGTTTATATATACAAACCTGACATTGGATTAACAGTGAAAGCTTGATGAGGCTGTAGGTATGTCAACTGAAACTCAAAATCTATTGGTGCTTCACATCGCAATGGGAATACCTTAGTCATTCTGAAATTATCATTATTAAATATTTTTTATTTTGTTTTTACACAAAAACAACAATATTCTTGTAAGTATTTCAATATGTATAAATCTTATAAACATATCCTAGATTAGTCATTTTTATAGAAGTATGATATACCTTGTATAAGGGCGGGGCATGCATGTCAGTGTAATAAGTCATGATTATGCCAGTATTTTTCTTACAATGTAAGGGTCTTACTATCATACATTGAAAGTTTCTATGATTCAGGTATTAACCATTTGAGTCAAAGTTAACAAAATATGTATTTTTATTGTAAAAACAAACAAAAGGTACATTGTACTAGGTGTAAGTGTAAGATTACAGAAATTTGTTAGACTAGAGAAGAACAATTCCAGGTTTATGTCAATGAAAATTAATGATAAAATTAATATAAACATGATAACATGTTATTAAATGAGCAGTTGTTTTTGCTTAACAAGTATTCATCTGAAATCTTGACAAATTATCAATGTTTACTAGATGGCAAATGTGTATTAGAAAATTGAAGAACACTCAGACTAATTCTCACTACCAATGTATGTATTTGACAGTATACAGAACCAGTATATGTACTTTCATGAATTAATGGTACTCACTTATGACCAACAGGGACTGGTGGAAAATTGAACAGCTGTGGGAAATCTTTGGTACTCATCACAGGGTAAGCATGTATAGGAATGACAAGATTTTCTTCCCCCTGAAATACAACAAAATTGCAATCAAGTTACATGAAATTATCACAACACCAGGATTCCATTTTTCCAGTCAGCCAGTAATGATTTAAGTATAGAACACCACCAACATGCCCAAATAAACTTGATTATGATAATTATATGAAAGTGTGGATAAATTCCTAAAATAAACATGAACATAGAAGTATGCGTACACTTATTTATCTATCTATCACAAATGGAGAAAAACACAAAGTTACTTAATTCTGTGAAAAACTGATATTCATTTACACGAAACATCAAAGATATGGTTAACAAGACTCAAAAGGTCATTGCCACATGCTTATGGGTGTATTACAATTATTCTTGCTTCTAACTTAAGATTTACACTGATGTTAAAAAATTAAGCTGCAACTTGCAATTGGTTGAATGTAATATGTACTAAACAAACAGCTACAAAAATATGATCACAAGTGCAACTTCATACGAAACTTAGCTTTTAACATCCATGCAGTCTGACAAGCCTCTATACTGTTTAAAACTAAATACATGTATTTGTATAGACTGTTCAAAGAAAGGCTAATCCATTACACAAATTCAGCAGTTTAATGCATAAAAGTCTGTTGAAATTTTAATTACTTTAAATGGACTGTTTAAAATTGGGTAAGGGCTAAAAAGCATTACTTACAGGGCAGTTAATTCTAATACAGTCATAATAATATCTCCATTCATCAGGTGTAAACTCAATGGTACAGTCTAATGTCAGTCCTGGAACCAATCTTTCCTGAAGCAAAAATATGGAAAATCAATTAAAACAGTGGCAGCACGATCAAGTGGTTATGGCATGAGAGTTTGAGTCTTAATGGGGACACATATAGCACAGACACTGGTTAATACACAAGTCGTTAAAAAACAATCTGAGGTTTCATGCTGATGATGCCTCAACTGAGCTTTTAGATCAAGCATGTCTTAATCTTTTAACTAAATTAAAAATTGAAAATTGTCAGTGTTATTTACAGTTTCTTTGAAATGGTCTTTACTCAAATGCAGTTTTATAGCACTTAAATGATAAAATGATAAAAGTAAATACTCAAAAAGTCTACATGCATGTACTTACATTTTTGGTATATTTGATATAGAAGTATTTTGTCTGCGGAGGTATGACATGCATTCTAATAACTTCTGTTGAAACATTTACAATGCTCAAGGACAAAGTATGTTTCTTGTCAACCTCAAAACCTCCAAAATGTATCACTGATGGCTTGGCAAGCACCATTGAGTTCTGGGCAATTTTTGTGTATATTTCTGAAAAGTAATTAAAGATAATCATAATTATAAATTGGCACTATTATAAGTAACTGTGTAAAAATTCTATTTTTGAAATACATAGCTATTGTTACTTGGTCTTTTACAAAATCAATGTTGAAACAAATTCTATTTTCAACTATTGTATTGTAAAACAGCCAAATAAATTAGATGATATTGTTATTCATAAATATCTTAAAGTCTAATAGTCCGAAAAATGACTCAATCTAATAGAATTTTGGTAAAAAGTAAAAAAATGATTTTATCATTTATGGAATTTAGTTATATGAACCAAGCTGACTGCTATACACTGGGCATGTAAAAGAACCAAGGGGCCTATTCAATTAGAGCTAGGGACTGGTTCCCGGATTCACTTGTATCTCATAGCTGTCTCTGAAGTGTAGAGTCATGTCTACGTCCCTGTGAGGGGTTTGACATTAATGGAAGGTAGATAGTGTAATAGAATAGAAGATATATAGATCTATCTACATCATACTGCTTCAAAATCGTTTACGATTTATCTAACCAGATATACATTGTATACATTAAAGAGACAGCTATGAGATACAAAGAAATCCAGGAACCAGTCCCTAGCTCTTACTGAATAGACCCGTTGGTTCTTTTACATGCCCAGCTAGTGTATAACATACATGAGAGGATTACCTGGATTTCTTACCAGTACACCTCTAGGTAGGTGGGAAACACTGACAGTGTCTCTGAAAAAATCCAAGGGTGTAACCATGGATCTGATAATCATTGGTCTAACCAACTGAGTTATCACGCCATCACACAGATCTAGATAGATATTCTAAACTTATGTCAACACTAGATTGACAAACATGATAAACATTTATGTCATAAATTATGGGTTTAATTTACAAATGTTAATAATTAAATATATGAAAAAATAAATAATTACTCGTTTCCAGAACATGGTTGGGTACATGCTGAGATTTCCTGGGTTCTTCTATTTGCATGGTTTCTATGAGCAATCCCGAGGTATCTGTAGGGCCATGTTGGCCCATCAGGCCTCTATTCATTGTCTCTACGGCTGGCATGTTGCAGCTAGGTAAAGATTATTATGTTTGATTATAATGCATCTGAAAAAATGGGTCAAATTGAGTAAATCTCGTCAAATTCTATTTTTTTACGAAACAATTATTTTCACTGACTACATGTCCGCCATATTGTTTACAAGTAATTAGGCTATGACTGTGTAGGAAAATAGTTCTAAATATTTCTAGGCAACTGTCATATTTATGGATGTGTAAGCTTAAATATTCATATAGAATTACGAAAATATATAAATGGTATAAAATTTTGCATCATATTATTACAGTTACCCTGCAATGAATTGTTTGTTTCATAAATATTCTTTCCTTGGGACTACTTTTTGTTTCTATGGGAATAATGGGTTATGCCCCCTTATGTATTCTTCTAAAAGAAGGAAGTGCGGGATTTTTTTCTCGTCATTCATGCTTTTTCAGCATTTTAGTGTAAGTTTGTTATTCAACCTGTTTCACTCGATTTTGTTATTGTTAATTATTTATGACAAGTGAAGTAACAATGCTCACTTGTTGTCAATATTATAGACAGTCAATGTCCTTGTCATTGATGACATTTTAGGCTACTGGTTGCACAACACCTGCAGTATCGATATATAGGCCTAGATCTTTTTATCCATTAATATCTAGCCCAATGACTGTCACTCCTGAGGTCCCGGGTTCGGTCCTGTGTAACACCCTTGGTATTTTTCAGAGACACTCGGTGTTTCCCACCTACCTAAAGGTGTACTGATAAGATATCCACGTAATCCTCGAATGTATCAGCGCTATACACTGGGCATGTAATAGAAACAAGGAGTCTATACAATAAGAGCTAGGGACTGGATCCTGCATTCCCTCATATCTCATAGCTGTCTCTCAATTCAATGTATACAATATATCCCTGCTTTGTGTAATTATAAACAATTTTGAAGCAGTTTTATAGATAAAAAAACCTATACCTTTTTTTATATATCTTTAGCATTATACAAGGACAACTGTTGTTTACATTACATGTCACAAGGATTTCATCAATATACATGTACATCAATATCAAGGTGAGAAATTGCTTCCAGTGACAGACAGACAAAAACTTAGGTGTCTGTTAATTAATCAATATGTTTATTAGGGCTGGGGCGAGCATCCAAGTACTGGATAATCACAAATCAAAATGAAAAATCTGTATGAATATTTGTCGGTCCAGAGATAGTGGATTGCGATCTTATTTGTTTATTATACATTCGCAATTTGTCACACTTCAAAAATTACAATTTGCCAATTAAAGACAGGAAGTAAACCAACATGTACCATGATGCTGAGCTAGGAAGTATTTAGTTTCGAAAAAAGGAATCACTTAATCACTATTGAGCACTATGTTTTTACATGAAAATAAATAAATATTTTAAGTCGCTATGTATAGATTTATAATAACATGACATGTATCAAAGGCGGTTTTATTTTCAATAATCCAAAATTTGCGGAACTCAAGTTAATACGTCAGTGTGACTTCACACATCTGCAGCAATGGCTGAAAAGGAGTCACTCCGATATAAAATTCCACCAGCAAAATTTACTTCCAATGTTTTGGAAATACTTGTCTTTTCATGTGATAAGACAAGTTTGTGGTACCACCGGTATAAATCAGTTCAACGGTATAAGTCAGTTCGCCGTGGCATGTTTACAAACTGCTTTTTTTCTCATTTTCAATTGAAATACTATTTAGAAAAAGTATTTCCAAACATTGGAAGTAAATTTTGCATGTGGAATTTTATATTGGCGCAATTTGTTTTCAACCTTTAAACCTTGTTTTTATTTGTTTAGTATTGTTTAAAGAAAATAAACATGTTTTCATAATGTTCGTGTTTTTAACAGTGTCTAAATAACAAAAGATTCATGGTTCGATTTGTGAATCGCAAGTGCTGAATCGTGGATCGGATGGGATCGTCACTTATCCGACAATCCACCACCCCTAATGTTTATGAAATTTCGAGATTCATCAAAGATTTCTTTTTTACTGTTACTTAGTGTGTAGAAGTGTCACTGTTGACATTTTGTATGTAGAAGTTTTTGTATAATAGTGTAACTTTCACATTTAACATAGCCACTATTGTATATTTTTTTTATTAGCTCACCTTGCACAAAGTGCAGGTGAGCTTTTAGGATGGCCAACCAAATGGCGTCCGTCGTCTGTCGTCCGTCCACATTTTAAATATTCTAAGGACATCTTCTATGATACCGCAAGGCCAATGTTTATGAAACTTGGCAGGAATACTCTTTGTATGAAGCTCTATCAAGATTGTTCAAAGAATTCCATTTCATGCAGAACTCTGGTTGCCATGGCAACCGAAAGAAAAATCTTTAAATATCTTCTTTTAAAGAACCGTAAGAGCTAGAGCTTAGATATTTGGCATGAAACATATTCTAATGAGTGTCTACCAAGTTTGTTCAAATAAAAGCCCTAGGGTCAAAATTGGCCCCGCCCCAGGGGGTCATTGATTTTCCCTATATGCATATAGTAAAAACTTAAAAAATCTTCTTTTAAAGAACTGTAAAAGCTAGAGCTTAGATATTTGGCATGAAACATCTTCTAGTGAATGTCTACCAAGTTTGTTCAAATAAAAGCCCTGGGGTCAAAATTGGCCCCGCCCCAGGAGGTCATTGATTTTCCCTATATGCATATATAGTAAAAACTTAAAAAATCTTCTTTTAAAGAACCCAAAGAGCTAGAGCTAAGATATTTGGCATGAAACATCTTCTAATGAGTGTCTACCAAGTTTGTTCAAATAAAAGCCCTGAGGTCAAAATTGGCCCTGCCCCAGGGGGTCATAGATTTTCCCTATATGCATATAATAAAAACTTAAAAAATCTTCTTTTAAAAGAACCCAAAGAGCTAGAGCTAAGATATTTGACATGAAATATCTTCTAGTGAGTGTCTACCAAGTTTGTTCAAATAAAAGCCCTGGGGTCAAAATTGGCCCTGCCCCGGGGGGTCATTGATTTTCCCTATATGCATATAGTAAAAACTTAAAAAATCTTCTTTTAAAGAACCCAAAGAGCTAGAGCTTAGATATTTGGCATGAAACATCTTCTAGTGAATGTCTACCAAGTTTGTTCAAATAAAAGCCCTGGGGTCAAAATTGGCCCCGTCCCAGGGGGTCATAGATTTTCCCTATATGCATATAGTAAAAACTTAAAAAATCTTCTTTTAAAGAACCCAAAGAGCTAGAGCTAAGATATTTAGCATGAAACATCTTCTAATGAGTGTCTACCAAGTTTGTTCAAATAAAAGCCCTGGGGTCAAAACTGGCCCCGCCCCGGGGGTCATTGATTTTCCTTATATGTGTATAGCAAAAACTTAAAAATCTTCTTTGAAAAAACCCAAATAGCTTGAGTTTAGATATTATACATGAAACATCTTTAAGTAAATATCTACAAAGTTTGTTAAAATAAAAGCCCAGGGGTCAAAACTGGCCCTGCCCCAGGGGTGTCATTGTTTTTAACTATATGTGTATAGTAAAAACTTAAAAAATCTGCTTTTAAGAAACCCAATGAGCTAGAACTTAGATGTTTAGCATGAAACATCTTTTTATTGGTGTCTACCAAATTTGTTGAAATAAAAGCCCTTGGGTTAAAATTGGCTCTGCCAGTGGGAGGGGGCTATATACAGGTGAGCGACCTCAGGGCCATCATGGCCCTCTTGTTTTTTTATAGTAATGAATGTCAGAAAATCCTTGCAATGTTCTGCTGGGGTGATCAGAAGGTTAGATGAAGTTGTGGTCAATCGTATAGCTGCAGGGGAAGTAATTCAAAGGCCAGCAAATGCTCTCAAAGAAATGATAGAAAACAGGTTAGTTCCCTTGTTAGCTCACCTGTCACAAAGTGACAGGGTGAGCTTTTGTGATTGCTTTTCGTCCGGCGTCCGTCCGTCCGTCCGTCCGTCGTCCGTCTGTAAACTTTTGCTATAAATGACATCTCCTCATAAACCACTGAGCCATTTTCATCCAAACTTCACAGGAATGTTCCTTTGGTGGTCACCTTTAAAAATTGTTCAAAGAATTTAATTCCATACAGAACTCTGGTTGCCATGGCAACCGAAAGAAAAATCTTTAAATATCTTCTTTTAAACAACCCTAAGAGCTAGAGCTTACATATTTAGCATGAAACATCTTCTAATGAGTGTCTACCAAGTTTGTTCAAATAAAAGCCCTGGGGTCAAAATTGGCCCCGCCCCAGGGGGTCATAGATTTTCCCTATATGCATATAGTAAAAACTTAAAAAATCTTCTTTTATAGAACCCAAAGAGCTAGAGCTAAGATATTTGACATGAAACATCTTCTAGTGAGTGTCTACCAAGTTTGTTCAAATAAAAACCCTGGGGTCAAAATTGGCCCCGCCCCAGGGGGTCATTGTTTTTCCCTATATGCATATAGTAAAAACTTAAAAAATCTTCTTTTAAAGAACCCAAAGAGCTAGAGCTAAGATATTTGGCATGAAACATCTTCTAGTGAGTGTCTACCAAGTTTATTCAAATAAAAACCCTGGGGTCAAAATTGGCCCCGCCCCGGGGGTCATTGATTTTCCCTATATGCATATAGTAAAAACTTAAAAAATCTTCTTTTAAAGAACTGTAAGAGCTAGAGCTTAGATATTTGGCATGAAACATCTTCTAGTGAATGTCTACCAAGTTTGTTCAAATAAAAGCCCTGGGGTCAAAATTGGCCCCGCCCCTGGGGGTCATTGATTTTCCCTATATGCATATAGTTAAAACTTAAAAAATCTTCTTTTAAAGAACCTTAAGAGCTAGAGCTTAGATATTTGGCATGAAACATCTTCTAGTGAATGTCTATCAAGTTTGTTGAAATAAAAGCCCTTGGGTCAAAATTGGCCCCGCCCCAGGGAGTCCTTGATTTTCCCTATATGCATATAGTAAAAACTTAAAAAATCTTCTTTAAAGAACCCAAAGAGCTAGAGCTAAGATATTTAGCATGAAACATGTTCTAATGGGTGTCTACCAAGTATGTTCAAATAAAAGCCCTGGGGTCAAAACTGGCCCTGCCCCGGGGGTCATTGGTTTTCCTTATATGTGTATAGCAAAAACTTAAAAATCTTCTTTGAAAAAACCCAAATAGCTACAGTTTAGATATTAAGCATAAAACATCTTTAAGTAAATATCTACAAAGTTTGTTCAAATAAATACCCAGGGGTCAAAACTGGCCCTGCCCCAGGGGTGTCATTGTTTTTAACTATATGTGTATAGTAAAAACTTAAAAAATCTTCTTTTAAAAAACCGATTGAGCCAGAACTTAGATGTTTAGCATGAAACATCTTCTTATGGGTATCTTCCAAGTTTGTTCAAATAAACAAATTAAAGGCCTTGGGTAAAAATTGGGGGGGGGGGGGGGGGGCTATATACAGGTGAGCGACCTCAGGGCCATCAGGCCCTCTTGTTATCATTTGGTACTTGGTTTTATGATATCTGTAGTGTATGAATATTATAAGTTAGTTTACACCAATAACCCTTACAGCTAGTAGTTTGAATCCAGCCGGGTACTTTGCATTCTTTCATGTGAGGAAGTTATCCAGGTACTTGTAGCTTATTGAATGATTGAATGAACTTAGGTGCCTGCTTGTGCCTGAAATAATACATGGAAGGATACCCAAAGTTCCTCCATCAGTAAAGCTGGAAATTTGCCTTATGACCCTTAAAGTATTGGTACAATTTAAACCCCCCTCCCCCCCCTCCCCCCCAAAAAAAGTAAGTTGACATCTTTATGATATAATAATCAAATGGAGGACAAATAAATACTAACAACACAGTAAGACAGCAGTCTTTGGACCTCACACACTATTTCAGATGTGATTTAAGCTTTAAGTATAATATGAAAATAAGGGAAAAAGAAATGTTGAGTACATGCAACTTCCAATGTGTCTTTTTCTTCATTAACTGTAACATGTTAATTTCTACCTGTATTGGGACAAAGTACCAACAAATATATAAAAACGGTGATGAAATGGTAAATTTCAATGCCCTGTAAAAAATTTATTTTGTGTAATATTTCCTAACAATGTTTGTACCCAAATATAGCCATTTTTTGCTCACCTGTCACTTTGTGACAGGGTAACCTTTTGTGATCGCTTTTCGTCCGGCGTCCATCCGTCCGTCGTCCGTAAACTTTAACTTTAAATGACATCTCTTCATAAACCGCTAAGCCAATTTCATCCAAACTTCACAGGAATGTTCCTTTGGTGGTCACCTTTGAAAATTATTCAAAGAATTTAATTCCATGCAGAAATCTGGTTGCCATGGCAACCAAAAGAAAAAACTTTAAATATCTTCTTCTAAAAAACCCAAAGAGCTAAGGCTTAGACATTTGGCATGAAACATCTTCTAGTGAGTGTCTACCAAGTTTGTTCAAATAAAAGCCCTGGGGTCAAAATTGGCCGGGCCCCAGGGGGTCATTGATTTTCCCTTAGTATATGTATATACAGTTGACATTCAATAAGTCAAAATCGCTTTACTCAAAATTCCGCCTTAGTCGAATAATTTCTAAAGTCCCGTCAAATTTCCTTCTTTATCTTTGTATTTTAACTCCGCATTGGTCAAATTTTGACTTACCGAGACTCCTGTTTAGTCGAAAAGAAAATTTGGTCCCGTCAATTAAAGTCCACATATTTTCATCTCAATTAGTCGAAGTGTGAAAACCGCCGACTGATCAAAGGTCGGCGACATCAAGATGAGATGTTGTCACTCGTGATTAACACGTTTCATAGTAATTTTTAATTGCCGGTCATCATGTATTATTAACACGTCGTAAAAGTGTCTTTTATCCGTTGCACGACTTAATTGGTTTTAACAGTTAGATAACTAAATTAAAATTTAATTACATTTCTTTAAAAAAGTTGACTCGTGCCAGTCTGACGGGTGTTAGTCAAATAACAGCCTAGTCAAATAACAGCCTAGGTATTGATGTGTATTATCAACGTAAATGATATTTGTATAATTAATGTTACGTCATTATAATTGCATACATTAATTTGTACTTCCGGTTCACGATAGTTGCTAATTTCGTTTTCGTCAGATGATCAATTAAATCAAATATAATTGTGTGTTTATGTTTCACTATTAATATACATGTATTAAATTTTGAATGATATATTTTTGTTCATTTATAATTTGTAGTTGAAAGTGATTTACCGTCATTTCAATGGTTAAATATTGCAGCATTGCCGCTAACAACAATAAGAAACCTACTTATTTGCACATTCAATCAGGTACATGTATATACATGTACGAAGTCAACGTAATGGCGGTAGTTCCACGTTACTCGAATTCCGTTTCTCTCGAAGTAAAATACCTAGTCCTTTGGATTTCGAGTTACCGAGAGTCAACTGTACAATGTAGTAAAAACTTAAAAAATCTTCTTTTAAAGAACGCAAAGACCTAGAGCTAAGATATTTAGCATGAAACATCTTCTAATAGGTGTCTACCAAGTTTGTTCAAATAAAAACCCTGGGGTTGAATTTGGCCCAGCCCCAGGGGGTCATTGATTTTTCCTATATGCATATAGTAAAAACTTAAAAATCTTCTTTTAAAGAACCCAAAGAGCTAGAGCTGAGATATTTAGCATGAAACATGTTCTAATGGATGTCTACCAAGTTTTTTCAAATAAGAGCCCTGGGGTCAAAATTGGCCCCGCCCCGGGGACATTGATTTTCCTTATATCAGTGTATATAGCAAAAACTTAAAAATCTTCTTCGAAAAAACCCGAATAGCTAGAGTTTAGATATTAAGCATGAAACATCTTCTAGTAAGTGTCTTCAAAGATTGTTCAAATAAAAGCCCTGGGGTCAAAACTGGCCTTGCCCCAGGGGTGTCATTGTTTTTAACTATATGTGTATAGTAAAAACTTAAAAAATCTTCTTTTAAAAAACCCAACAAGCTAGAGCTTAGATGTTTTATCATGAAACATGTTCTAATGGGTGTCTATCAAGTTTGTTCAAATAAAAGCCCTGGGGTTTAAACTGGCCCCGCTCGGGGGGGGGGGGGGGGGGGGGGGGGGGGGGGGGGGGGAGACCTATATACAGGTGAGCGTTTTCAGGGCCATCATGTCCCTCTTGTATAATTCAATTGTTATATCTTGATGACTAAGGAAGTAGATTCTAGATTAATTATAGTTATTCCCATTCTTTGTGTTTGTCCTAATGTGTAGTTCCTTATTTTTATGCCCCGGCCATGTAATGGCCGGGGCATATAGTGTTACCCTGTTCCGTCCTTCCGTCCTTCCGTCATTCTGTCATCATCAGTTTCCGTTCATTATCTTAAGAACGATTGCACACATTCAACTCAAATTGGACATATGTATAATTATGTCATGAGAAAAAACAGGTCAAGTTCGAATTTGGTCATGGTTTGATGATTTTTAGCAGAGTTATGCCCCTTTTACTTTGAAAATAATATGAAATTTCAGTTTCCGTTCATTATCTCCCCAACGGTACAACACATTCCACTCAAATTTGACACATGGATATGTCATGAGAAAATACAGGTCAAGTTCGAATTTGGTCATGGTTCGATGATTTTTGGCAGAGTTATGCCCCTTTTACTTTGAAAATAATATGAAATTTTCAGTTTCCGTTCATTATCTCCCCAACGGTACAACACATTCAACTCAAATTTGACATATGGATATGTCATGAGAAAATACAGGTCAAGTTCGAATTTGGTCATGGTTCGATGATTTTTGGCAGAGTTATGCCCCTTTTACTTTGAAAATAATATGAAATTTTCAGTTTTCGTTCATTATCTCCCCAAAGGTACAACACATTCAACTCAAACTTGACATATGGATGCGTCAAAGGAATGTGCAGGTCAAGTTCAAATTTGGTCATGGTTCAATGATTTTTGGCAGAGTTATGCCCCTTTCACTTTGAAAGTAATATGAAATTTTCAGTTTCCGTTTATTATCTCCCCAATGGTACAACACATTCAACTCAAATTTGACATATGGATATGTTTTTGGAATGCCCAGGCCAAGTTCGAATTTTGTCTTGGTTCAATGATTTTTGGCAGAGTAATGCCCCTTTCACTTTGAAAATAATATGAAATTTACAGTTTCTGTTCATTAACTACCCAACAGTGTTACATATTCAACTTAAATTTGACATATGGATATGTCCAAGGAATGGGCAGGTCAAGTTGGAATTTGGTCATGGTTTGATGATTTCTTGGCAGAGTTATGTCCCTTTCACTTTGAAAATAATATAGATACATCTTAGGAATAAGCAGTTCAAGTTTGAATTTGGTCGTGGTTCAATGATTTTAGACAAACTTATCTTTCCTGAATGTTGGAAAAATTTTGAACTTTCAGTTTCAGCACTCATACTTTTAGCCATTATTTTGGCTACAAATATGCAATATGCTATTTTTCAAAGGTTAAGACTGAATCATTTCAGTGCCTTGAACATTGTATGAAAATGGTTTGTGTTAACATTGAAAAGTTTTAAGGGCTTTGAACTTAAAATGAAAAAAATAATTAATGCACCATCTGAAATTTTGGCTGCAAATGGTTTGTGTTAACATTGAAAAGTTTTAAGGGCTTTGAACTTAAAATGAAAAAAATAATTAATGCACCATCTGAAATTTTGGCTGCATGCGGGGGCATCCGTGGCATGATGACACATTTCTAGTCTTATTTTAATTGAAGTTATTTTAAGTTTTAATATTATCATTTTATGATTTGAATTATAACAAAGATTATGAATTAAACTGTAACCAATTGTTTGTATTAATTCAGCCTTGATGCTAAATCTACGAATATAACAGTGACTGTTAAACAAGGTGGTCTCAAACTGTTACAGATACAGGACAATGGTTCAGGAATCAAGGTATATTATCTTTATTTTGTTTCTGATTTTTAACACAACCCTTGAATGTATAAGCCATTATATACAGATCTTAAATATAATTATGCTTCCCAACAGAGAGATATAAAGTCATAGTGGCTGTTTCATCTGTCTGTCTGTCCGTTTCCACTTCTTGTCTGCTTTTTTTCTCAGTAACCACTGACTTGAATTTAATCAAAACTTTATAGAAAGTTTCAAATACCATGAAGTTTATGTTGTTCTATTTCTCTTACCTTACAAAAAAAAAACAATAAGAAACAAAAAAACGCTTAAATGTTGTTATAAACACAGGTAAATTTAATACAAACATTGTTTGTCTTTACAGAAAGATGACATGAATATAGTGTGTGAGAGATTCACTACCAGCAAATTATCAAAATTTGAAGATTTGAATTCCATAGCAACATATGGTTTCCGTGGTGAGGCATTGGCAAGTATCAGCCATGTTGCTCATGTTACTATAGTAACAAGAACTGCAGATTCTAAATGTGCTTACAGGTATATATTTTTTTAGTTTGTGATTTAGAAAATGTATTATAAGAATGGAAATTTATGCCATATGCTGTATGTTTTTATGGCAAAACAGTTTTATTATCCACATTTTGTTGGAAAATCAGTCAGTCCTTTGGTCTTTAGGTGTCTAGGAATTCTAGATCATAAAAATGACCAACCCTTTCGTCAAGATCAAAAGATGGACAAGTCCTTAAGATATTTAGGGTGATTACTGTTAAATATGGCCTTTTATCAATCATAACAGAGAAAAACTTGCTTCTTTTATTAACGTAGTATTAAAACTTCTTCTAGCTGGATGTTATTGTTTTGACTAGCATTAATAGTTATTTGTGTCTATTGTCAATGTATCATATTAGTGATACTAACAAATGTTAGATAGTGATCTCTTATTTTGGGGGTATTTAGTCTTTTTGGAAATAGATATTTATTTCTGAGGTTAGCTCACTTTGAGTGTGATTTAGATTACATCTTCAATGTACTTTAACTGCATGAAAAATTAAAACATAAATTTTCTAGGAATGAAATTGATATTTATTACAGAGGTAGCTATATTGATATTTATTACAGAGGTAGCTATATTGATATTTATTACAGAGGTAGCTATATTGATATTTATTACAGAGGTAGCTAAATTGATATTTATTACAGAGGTAGCTATATTGATATTTATTACAGAGGTAGCTATATTGATATTTATTACAGAGGTAGCTATATTGATATTTATTACAGAGGTAGCTATATTGATATTTATTACAGAGGTAGCTATATTGATATTTATTACAGAGGTAGCTATATTGATATTTATTACAGAGGTAGCTATATTGATGGTAAGCTGAAGGAAGCAGTTAAACCATGTGCTGGTAATGTAGGAACTCAAATTACTGTAAGTACATTATTCATCCTCATTATTCATCAGAGATTTACAGATTTACAAAACAACCTGTGGCTTTTTGAAGGGGAAAATATAGCACAATAAATTATATAAGAGGGAAAGTCTGAAATCAAATTCCATCAATTCCATCAACTAAGAATGGAATTTACACAGCAGGTGTGTCTGTATTTCTTTCATTAAAAAATAAATTAACATGCATAGTACATAGTCAACACTATCTATAGGGACAAGTTTCTGTCTGTCAATCAATGAAATTCATCAATTCATAATTCTGTTGAAGAAGTGCACAGGGTAAAATGTTAGCATTTAAGGGTATTGGGCTACTTAAATATTGGGCAAAATGAAATTTGTTTTAAAGTTAAATGAAATATACCCATCTTTAAGTTTTGTTTACATATATTTTCACTTATGCTTTGCATTTTTGAAAGTATTTAGAAATTCTCACTTCAACCAGTTCCATTTTCTCTAAAATCCTGTATAAATCTACAACTATAGAAATTCTGATGGTAGCACTGGACATAATGTTTTAAAACTTAACACATGTATAGTGCATGATAGGAAGTCCATCATTTTCAAAGAAATTGGTAATTACTGGTAAGTTCTTCAGGGTTTCTTTCCAAGATTTTGGGAACATGACCCATACCCACAGAATTGGGGAATTTCAGCAATGTTTTGTTAAAAATTGGGAAAAAATGCATGACTGAAATTGATTTAATGAATGCAAAGAATCAATGTCTAGGATGGCATCTTAAAGCATTTAAACACTATAACAGTGAAGAAGCCCTTATTGTCCAAGGTTTAGAAGTTGTTATTCAATGTTTTTATTTGGTAACTTTCAACTGTGGAATGGGAAAATAATATACTATTTTCAGTTGAGAATATGACCGATTATCACATATAAAATAAGCCAAAAATTCCAAGGTTATTCAAGGAAAGATTGAGTACTAGCTTATTAGATATGACCAAATGTGTGAAAAGTGGCATAAAATTCAGATAAACAAACTTTCAGCCAAGAAACTACCATTTTTCTGAGTTATCTCATATGCAATAAACCAAGCTTTTTTTAGGTTGAAGATGTATTTTATAACATATCTACTAGAAGGAAAGCATTGAAGAGTCCAGCTGAAGAGCATGCCAAGATTGTGGAAGTTGTTAGCAGGTGTGTCTGTATTTCTTCCGTTAAACAATTTCTAAATTAGAAATAATAATAAAAATGATTCATAAATAATCCACACTATAAGTTCTTCAGTTGTTATGATTTACAAACAAAACCTTCAATAAAATTTGTAGCTTGACTTTTGGAATAATAGTTGGGCTCTGCTCAACTATCCATTAATGTCTGTATAACACTCGGTTTAAGTTTGGGTGCTATTTTATGTCTTAGTAACCAGTTAAGGTCTGGTATTTAGATTAAACTAACACGCATCTTTTCAGGAGCACTGCACAACACCTATAGATCGACTGAATATTTCAACTGTAAATTGAAAACATTCTTGTTAAAGTTTAAATCTGGACAAGCACTGAACATATTTCACTTAACACATGTATTGTGATTTATAATTGTTGGTTAATGGCAAAACCTACAATACCACTCTTTACTGTATTGTTCCTGAAATTCTTGAAAATTCTTGTATGATCCATGTTCTTGTTTAACTGTCAAGCATTAGCAACTTTTGTTATGCCCCTGCCTATAGTGTTACCCCTGTCCGTATATGTGTACATGCGTGGGTCTATATGTCTGTTTGAAAGCCTTGTCTGGTCTATAACTCTGTCATAATTCATCAAAGGATTTTGAAATTAGTTGGCACAAATGTGTAACATGATGAGATGGTGTGTCATGCATGCACAAGACTTGAACACTTAGCTCCATGGTCAGGATCACAAAGGTCAGCTGTTACAAAATTTTGTTGCCCATAACTCATACATTCTCAGATGGCTCAAATATTTTGCATGATGAAACTGCATCATGCATAAGAGCAATGCTCCAAGGTCAAGGTCACCCTTTGAAGTCAAAGGTCAGCATTTAGAAAACCTTAGCTGGTCCATTAATGTGTGATGTATCAAGGGATTTTGAAGTCAGTTGTTACCAACTGTCATCTGTCCTTACATTAAAAAGTACTTCTAGTGCCAAAAAAAAGAAGAAAGACTGTCTTAGTATCATGCTCTCCAGTTATAACTTTTATATTGGTAATTTGTCTTAACATATATACCAGGGGCATCCTTCACATATGTTTCTAGTTTTCTTTAGAAATGGATTGCTGTGTGTCACTGTTTTAGTACAGATAATGTGTATGTCACTGTTACACTGTTATTTTACAGGTATTGACTGCGTATATCAGTATTATAAGTCAAGGAGTATTATTCTGAAAGCAAATGAAAGCAATATTTTTAGGAGTTATGTCCCTTTTTAGCTCACCTGAGCTTGCTCAGGGTGAGCTTTTAGGATCGGTGAATGTCCGTCGTCCGTCGTCCGTCCGCCGTCCACAATTGCTTGTGAACACTCTAGCGGTCGCATTTTTTCCTCAATCATCATCAAACTTGGTCAGTATGCTTATCTAGTTGAAAGCTCGGATGAGTTCGAACATGGGTCATCTCGGATGAAAAACTAGGTCACAAGAGCTAAAAATAGAAAAACCTTGTGAACACTCTAGAGGTCACATTTTTGACCCAATCATCATCAAACTTGGTCAGGATGTTTGTCTAGGTGATAGCTCAGATGAGTTCGAACATGGGTCATCTCGGATGAAAAAGTAGGTCACAGGAGCTATAAATAGAAAAACCTTGTGAACACTCTAGTGGTCACATTTTTTAACCAATCATCATCAAACTTGGTCAGAATGCTTGTCTAGTCAATTGCTTGGATGAGTTCGAACATGGGTCATCTCTGATGAAAAACTAGGTCACAGGAGCTAAAAATAGAAAAACCTTTTGAACACTCTAGTGGTCACATTTTTGACCCAATCATCATTAAACTTTGTCAGGATGCTTGTTTAGATAATAGCTCAGATGAGTTCGAATATGGGTCATCTCGGATGAAAAACTAGGTCACCGGAGCTATAAATAGAAAAACCTTGTTAACACTCTAGCGGTCACATTTTTGCATCAATCATCATCAAACTTGGTCAGGATGCTTATCTAGTTGGTAGCTTGGATGAGTTCGAACATGGGTCATCTCGGATGAAAAAGTAGGTCACCAGAGCTAAAAATAGAAAAACCTTGTTAACACTTGAGCGGTCACATTTTTGCATCAATCATCATCAAACTTGATCAAGATACTTGTCTAGGTGATAGCTCGGATGAGTTCGAACATGGGTCATCTCGGATGAAAAACTAGGTCACAGGAGCTAAAAATAGAAAAACCTTGTTAACACTAGTGGTCACAATTTTGACTCAATTGTCATCAAACTTGGTCAGGAAACTTGTGTAGGTCATTGCTGGGAATAAATCGAACATGGGACATCTCGGATGAAAAACTAGGTCACAGGAGATAAAAATAGAAAAATCTTGTGAACACTCTAGTGGCTACTGTTGTGATCCAAATATTCTGTTAATTGGTCTGAAAGTTTGTTTTGATGATTTCTAAGTCAAGATCGAACATGGGTCATCTTGGATGAAAAACTAGGTCACACCGCCCAAATATGGAAAAACCTTGTTAACATTCTAGTGGTCACATTTTTCGACTCAATTATCATCAAACTTGATTAGGATGCTTGTCTAGGTAATTGCTTGGATGAGTTCGAAATCGCATGTGAAACTAGGTCACAGGAGCTTAAAATAGAAGAATCTTGTTAACACTCTAGTTGCTACTGTTTTGATCCAAGTATCCTGGAAATTGGTCTGAAAGTTTGTTTTGATGATTTCTAGGTCAAGTTTGAATATGTGTCACCTGGGTAAAAAACTAGGTCGCACTGCTCAAATATGGATAATCCTTGTTAACACTGTAGTGGTCACATTTTTGACTCACCTGTCATGAGACTTGGTCAGAATGCTTGTCTAGGTAATTGTTTGGATGAGTTTGATAATTCAGGTGAGCGATCTAGGGCCATCATGGCCCTCTTGTTTAATAAAACGGACATTAACACCTTGCAGTGCTCTTCTACTGGTAATGACTGTTTCACACTGTTTTTTTAGCTCACCTGTCACAAAGTGACAGGGTGAGCTTTTGTGATCGCTTTTCGTCCGGCGTCCGTCCGGCGTCCATCCGTCCGTCGTCCGTCCGTAAACTTTTACTTTAAATGACATCTCCTCATAAACCACTAAGCCAGTTTCATCCAAACTTCACAGGAATGTTCTTTTGGTGGTCACCTTTAAAAATTGTTCAAAGGATTTAATTCAATGCAGAACTCTGGTTGCCATGGCAACCGAAAGAAAAAACTTTAAATATCTTCTTTTAAAAAACCATAAGAGCTAGAGCTTAGATATTTGGTGTGAAACATCTTCTAGTGAGTGTCTACCAAGTTTGTTCAAATAAAAGCCCTGGGGTCAAAATTGGCGCCGCCCCGGGGGGTCATTGATTTTCCCTATATGCATATAGTAAAAACTGAAAAAATCTTCTTTTAAAGAACCCAAAGAGCTAGAGCTAAGATATTTAGCATGAAACATGTTCTAATGGGTGTCTACCAAGTTTGTTCAAATAAAAGCCCTGGGGTCAAAATTGGCCTCGCCCCTGGGGGTCATTGATTTTCCCTATATGCATATAGTAAAAACTTAAAAAATCTTCTTTTAAAGAACTCAAAGAGCTATGGCTAAGATATTGAGCATCAAACATGTTCTAATAGGTGTCTACCAAGTTTGTTCAAATAAAAGCCCTAGGGTCAAAATTGGCCCCGCCCCAGGGGGTCATTGATTTTCCCTATATGCATATAGTAAAAACTTAAAAAATCTTCTTTTAAAGAACTCAAAGAGCTATGGCTAAGATATTTAGCATCAAACATGTTCTAATAGGTGTCTACCAAGTTTGTTCAAATAAAAGCCCTGGGGTCAAAATTGGCACCGCCCCGGGGGTCATTGATTTTCTTTATATGTGTATAGCAAAAACTTAAAATCTTCTTTGAAAAAAACCAAATAGCTAGAGTTTAGATATAAAGCATGAAACATCTTCTAGTAAGTGTCTACAAAGTTTGTTTAAATAAAAGCCCTGGGGTCAAAACTGGCCCGGCCCCAGGGGTGTCATTGTTTTTAACTATATGTGTATAGTAAAAACTTAAAAAAAAATCTTCTTTTAAAAAGCCCAATGAGCTAGAGCTTAGATGTTTAGCATGAAACATCTTCTTATAGGTGTCTACCAAGTTTGTGCAAATAAAAGCCCTTGGGGTTAAATTGGCCCTGCAACGTTGGGGGGGGGGGGGGGGGTTGGGGAGGCCTATATACAGGTAAGCGACCTCAGGGCCATCATGGCCCTCTTGTTTACAGGTATTGACTGTTTCAAACTGTTTTTTACAGGTATGCAGTGCACAATTGTAAAGTTGGGTTTACTTTAAAGAAGGTAATTTTCATTACTGATATCTAATTGGCTAATTTCATAGCTGACCCCTAAATACATGTAAGATAAAGTAACTTGCCTTTATGTTTTGGTTGGTTAAAAATTTTATAATAAAAATCTAGCAAGCAGGTCAGTGGTTCTACCCTGATGTAAACAACTTAGAAGGTTATCAACAAACCTTCTATTGCCAAAATATTGAAAACAAAACCACCAAAAAAACAGGTGATTAATTTTTAAGTACATTTCTTTAACTTTCCATCAAAGGAATTATAAGAAAGAAAGTCTTGAAACATGGCATATATTTAAATTATTATTCCATCCTAGAAGAGTTGATCATAATATACTTTATAATTTTTTCTGTAGTACAATTATACAGTAATGGGTGGTTATCAGTCAAACCTTTTGTCAAATTTACTCAAGCACACTAGTTGTTTGTGTTTATAACATGAAGTTTATTCTACAAAACTCAAAGTTTTATCATCATTGAAATTTATTTGTTATATATAAGAGTTGCTGGGTCAATTTCAATCTTTTATTACTTTAAATACATCTTATTTTAGTATAATTTGTTGGAACACACACTCTGGAATCTATTCCTTGAACCAACCAGTACTGAGCAATGAGTGTAAAGGTTCTTGCTCAAGGAAACCATGGCTTGCCTCTGACTGGGTTTGAACTCAGCAGTTAGGGATCATTAGATTACAAGTCTGAAGAGTTAACCACTTGGTCATGCTGCCATCTCGCATTTATTTTTTATAGCACCTTTATTTATCAAACTGATTCAAAAGTGTAATACTGTTATCTTTCTATGGATATGGGTTTCAGATTGATTTTTTCAAGGTCATTAAGGCTACATATAAAGAATTCATACTTTTTGTCACAGTTAGGCCAAGTTTTAAGCCTTTTAAAAGTATCTACTTGGATAATATACTGGTGTTTAAGTTAGCCATGTATTTTATTGGTAGCATGGAGAAGTATCTACTAGGATAATATACTGGTGTTTAAGTTAACCTTGTATTTTATTGGTAGCATGGAGAAGGAATGGCTGATGTAAGGACGCCAAGTAATTCTACATACACAGACAATATAAGGACCATCTTCGGACCAGCTGTAGCAAGGTTTGTCACATTCCTCACACCTGAAATTCCTCCATACCTGAAAATTCCCTGACTTTTCTAGATTGCATAAAAATGGTCTCTTAAATCTGTAATTTATGAAAATATATTAACATAGGCTACATAATAGAAACCCCCCACCCACGAAGGAGAAAAAAAAGACATACATTTAATGTTATGTGTACTAGAACATGTATCTATTCAATGAAAATTTTAACTGAAGCAACATGCTTTACATATTTCCTATCTTTGTAATGTTGAAAATATCATTATATACAATATTATTATATCGGTTAATTTATAACAAAACCATGGGTAAATAATATGAGCTCGTGTAATATCACTTGATTCCAAGAAAGGAAACAATAATGTTAATTTATAGTGGAGTATTACATTGGTATTTGTATGTTGGCTTTTCCCCCTTCTTTTTATGTTTGTAACATGTTGTTTTATATTGTTTTGTCTATATGTACATAAAAAAACTCTTAAATCGCATTGTATTGTCTATATGTACATAAAAAAACTCTTAAATCGCATTTTGCTATATGTCGGGCACAACAATGCACTTAAGCATAAATATAATGTGCATTATATAGCCAGTAGAAAAACTAGTGATATGTAACAGTGCAATTAACATCAATGCAATCAGTGCAGCTGTTAGAAATTGCACTTTTTGAAATAATTGCATGTCTTGCACAAAAAATTTGAATATGAGAAATAAAAGCGATGTCAATAACATAATGATATCATGTGATAATAATGATATCGTAATTACTTAATGATATCATAACAATCACTGTGCATTGTTATATATTCAGGAGCAAGTTGTTTTGTCCTGTTTGATTGCTTTTAATGTTGACCTGTCCATTATAGTAAGTCAAAAAAGTCCTTTGTGAGTTTGACTAACGATACATGCTGTTTAATACTTACAATTTCAATTGAGGACATCTGAAAGTTTGTCTCTTTAATATGATAGAACGTCGATGGTTCTCGGGTGCCTGTTCGTGCCTGAAATATTGCACGGAAGGGCACCTGAGGTCTTCCTCCACCAGTAAAGCTCCGGGAACGTCACGATATGACCTATACTGTGCCGATGTGATGTAAAACCCAATAAAAAAAAAGTATGACAGGAGAGTGTTTTTATTTCCAATATTTGATGTTGGATGTTATGGAGCATATTGTCTGTATTATCCAACATTAATTTTTCAAATCACAATCTGCATCTTCTATTTCACATAGTGTTTTTATCGCTGTTTCATCTATTCAAGATTGGGCTTCTTTTGTAGACATTTGGTTCAGTATCAATGCCTTTGTTTACTCATTAAATTCATTTAAATCAAAGCTTGTTTTCAACAAATTTATAAATAGCTGTGAAGTCTGAATCAACAAACTGTTGTGTGTTCTTCCTGTTTAACAGACAAGATGATCTTGTGTGGTATAAATTTAATGTGTAGGAACAGGACTTATTTTCTGATGACACATTTATTATAATATTTCTGTGTTGATCTCACCAAAGAACATAATGCTGACTGAATCATTATGACTAAAGCTGTCTGTTTGCCATATTTTTGTTGTCCACAATTTTTTAGCTCGACTATACAAAGTATATGGAGAGATGTCCTACTTGTCCAGGTGTCGGCGTCGGCGTCTGCGTCCACATTTCATATTAAAGTTTTGGTGCAGTAAAATATTTTTCACTAAAACTTTTTCATTTCTTAAGGTACCAACTTCAAATATATGTTCCTTATCAACAACCACATCTTATGTGACAAGGTTCATACCTCTAGCATATGATGGACAAAATTTTCCTGGCTGGTATTACACATGTCATATAATATGACGGGTGCCCAGTTGACCTGGGTTCTGGGGTCATGGCTAGTAAACATTTTAAAATAAACTTAATTGACACCATCATATTTGACTGATGAGAAATTGCTGCTGTTGCATGAAAGACTATTTGTCAATTAATCTTGTCACTGAAATTTGTTCAAAGCAACAAAACAAGTCTTTCCAGAAACTGGTACAGTATGTGTGTGTTTGGGTTTGTTTACTCTCGTTACCGGAAAAAAACCATATGGGCGAACATATACTTCATTATGTATGTGAGGTTAAACAGTTATAGCCACATTTAGAATAAGTAATTTATACATATGGCAGATGGTGTATACATTTACAATAATTGTTTGTTAATTAGTGGCATATCACACATTCATTTTATGTTATATTTAACACTTGGACAGCAGTTGACAGGACAGTAATTAACCATCTGAAAAATCAATTACAAATGCATGTTGCTAATAACTGCCTTACTGTACATAGAGCTGAGATAATATATATGTCCACACTGTGTGACTTTGGCTGAAAGGCTGTTTCAATTAAGAAATTGTTAATTTTCATCAATATAGATAAAGTTTATGCTTTGCTTAAAACAGGCCATTGTGGGTCTTTACTTCATTTTATTTTGTTTAATTTACAGGTATTTCATAAGTACAAATACAAGAATAATGTTGTTGTACTGAAAACAGTCTTTCAAATTATCATTTCAGATCTGTACAGAAATTGTAAATTATGAATGGTCATTTATTGAAGCGCAAAAAAAATGACAATGACTTTTATTTACATGTATTCATAAGTATATAGATAAACTTGCTGACAGTAAATGATGAATAATTTTTGCTACACCTCTCTATTTATGGCCATTAATGCTGCAGGCATTTTGACCTGTGTAAATGATAGATGGTATAACTGAATTTGAACTGGTAATGGTCAGTACATTAGACCTTAAAGCAAAGGCAGATTTTTATTTTTAGTATTAGGTACACTCATAAAAAGTAATTAAAACTGTAACCAGCGCTTTGATTTTGTAAATTAAGTTAAAATGTTCTAATGTCCAGAAATCAGAGTTATAATTATTTGATTATGACAGCATTAAGCAACCTGCCAAATGTAAGCCAAACTCTTACATTAACCATTGGGATAAGTGGGACAAACTCTTACATTTACCATTGGGAAAAGTGGGGACAAACTCTTACATTAACCATTGGGATAAGTGGGGACAAACTCTTACATTAACCATTGGGATAAGTGGGGACAAACTCTTACATTAACCATTGGGATAAGTGGGACAAACTCTTACATTTACCATTGGGATAAGTGGGGACAAACTCTTACATTAACCATTGGGATAAGTGGGGACAAACTCTTACATTAACCATTGGGATAAGTGGGACAAACTCTTACATTAACCATTGGGATATGGGGGACAAACTCTTACATTAACCATTGGGATAAGTTGGACAAACTCTTACATTTACCATTGGGAAAAGTGGGACAAACTCTTACATTTACCATTGGGAAAAGTGGGGACAAACTCTTACATAAACCATTGGGATAAGTGGGACAAACTCTTACATTTACCATTGGGAAAAGTGGGGACAAACTCTTACATTTACCATTGGGAAAAGTGGGACAAACTCTTACATTTACCATTGGGATAAGTGGGACAAACTCTTACATTAACCATTGGGATAAGTGGGACAAACTCTTACATTAACCATTGGGAAAAGTGGGGACAAACTCTTACATTTACCATTGGGATAAGTGGGACAAACTCTTAAATTAACCATTGGGATAAGTGAGGACAAACTCTTACATTAACCATTGGGATAAGTGGGGACAAACTCTTACATTTACCATTGGGATAAGTAGGGACAAACTCTTACATTAACCATTGGGATAAGTGGGGACAAACTCTTACATTAACCATTGGGATAAGTGGGGACAAACTCTTACATTTACCATTGGGATAAGTAGGGACTTTGACTTTTGAATAAGCAATACCATAAAGGACAACATTGTTGGGCCAGTAATACAGTTAAGTATCCTTGCTAAATGCCAACACTGCAAGTTGGACATATCCCCAGCTATTTTGGTGATATTTAGGGCCTGAAATAAGACCAATAGGAGATGAAAGGTAAAAATTCAACTCTTTTTTCCTGTCTGAGCTATTTCCAATACTTTCCTCAGGAGTGGGAAGTTGGGGTTTTGGAAGATGGTGGGAGAGGGGGGAGGGCTGTGGTGCATGGTTCATAAGATATCTACAGATAAGCATTTGTGTAACATGTACACTCATGTAGACATAGGATGGGAAAGACTGGGTTTAGTTAAGTGTTGAAATACGACATTTTGTGACTGATTTATGGCATATTTGACATTATGTTGGCATGTCATAACTTTATGTTAGTTTGTTACAGATTATATACTGGACATTAAAAAAGGTTTAACTCATAAAAAGTATATTAAAACTGTAACCAGCGCTTTGATTTTGTAAATTAAGTTAAAATGTTCTAATGTCCAGAAATCAGAGTTTTAATTATTTGATTATGACAGCATTAAGCAACCTGCCAAATGTAAGCCAAACTCTTACATTAACCATTGGGATAAGTGGGACAAACTCTTACATTTACCATTGGGAAAAGTGGGGACAAACTCTTACATTTACCATTGGGATAAGTGGGGACAAACTCTTACATTAACCATTGGGATAAGTGGGGACAAACTCTTACATTAACCATTGGGATAAGTGGGACAAACTCTTACATTTACCATTGGGATAAGTGGGGACAAACTCTTACATTAACCATTGGGATAAGTGGGGACAAACTCTTACATTAACCATTGGGATAAGTGGGACAAACTCTTACATTAACCATTGGGATATGGGGGACAAACTCTTACATTAACCATTGGGATAAGTTGGACAAACTCTTACATTTACCATTGGGAAAAGTGGGACAAACTCTTACATTTACCATTGGGATAAGTAGGGACTTTGACTTTTGAATAAGCAATACCATAAAGGACAACATTGTTGGGCCAGTAATACAGTTAAGTATCCTTGCTAAATGCCAACACTGCAAGTTGGACATATCCCCAGCTATTTTGGTGATATTTAGGGCCTGAAATAAGACCAATAGGAGATGAAAGGTAAAAATTCAACTCTT